ACATTGGTCCCACTCAGAAAATCCATGATGCTCTGCCCATCTCAAGATACTTAATCACATCTGCTAAATCCTTTTGCCATGTAAGGTAAGAGAGTCACAGATTCTGGGGATTAGGACCCAGATATCCTGGGGGCCGTCATTCTGCCGATCATACCCGATACCCAGCTTTCCAGGGCAATCAGTGTCGAAGTGGGCACTAGCCTCAGCTGGCTGAGGAGGAAGGGGGCAACTGGTCCCTCACTGGGCAGGAGGGAGAGTAGAACACTGCGCAACACGAAAGCTGCTGACGGCCACTAAGACCCTTGCTCCTGCCCCAGAACGCTCCCCTTCTTTTTGTTTGTGCACAGGATCCCAGCAAAATCGCTGCGACACCAGCCCCACCTGCCAGCAGCACAGGGGAGGAAAAGCCAAGCAAGTCGCAGCAGCTGAGAAAGATTTTTCAAGAGTACGGTGCCGTCGGCGTGTTGCTGCACGTTGGCATCTCACTAATCTCCTTGGGCATATTTTACATGGTGGTTTCAAGGTGAGATCTCGGCAGGAACAGATCTTTGTTTTTTTTTACTGTCATGTGTGATTCTTTGTGAATGAGAACATTTTTCCTATGAATGTGTATTCATCTAGCCACTTGCTGTCATGTTTTTTAAATACTTCAAATCTTAGAGCCAAATCGATTACCTAATTTGACGCCTTGTGATAAATTTTTTTTTTTTTTTTTTTTGGTCTCTTTCCGCAGTGGTGTGGACATGTCTGCAATCCTGCTTAAACTCGGATTTAAAGAGTCACTGGTGCAGTCGAAAATGGCGGCGGGCACAAGTACCTTCGTGGTGGCCTACGCCATCCACAAGCTGTTTGCCCCGGTGCGAATCAGCATCACCCTAGTGTCTGTGCCCTTCATTGTCAGATATTTTCGCAAAGTGGGATTTTTTAAACCTCCAGCTGCAAAGCCTTGATGAACTCTTCAAACCTATTTCTTTTAAATAGAAATTCTGGGTTAGTTTTAGGATAGAGCTTTTCTGGGGGGCGGGGAGGGTGGGGACAGGAAGCTAATTGCTATGTTCTCGTAAGTTTGGCCTTTGGCAACAAAATTCAGGTTCTTTTAATAATTGTAATTATTTTGCTTTACAAATGTTGTTAATGCTATTCATCGTAGGGCTTGTATGCATAATCTAAAATGTCAGCAAAACATCACAAGTTGAGTTGGCATCTCAAACAAAACTGTTAGCCTACAAAATGCTCCTTCTGGAGGATCACTGGTGAGGTTCTGGTCTGCAGAAGCCCCCGGGGTTAATCTCCGCTCAAATTCTTAAAGGGCGACGATTCATTAAGCTGGCTTTTTAAAATTTCCGTTCCTCCAGGATCTGTCGTCAGGCTGCCTGTGGTTTAATAGACGATAGGATGCAAAACAGCTGAATTTGATGAAGCAGAATTTCCGACTTAACAATATGTAATCAGGATCTAAATTAGCATCAACGCTTTGACGTTCATTACACTTGTTTTAGGGAAGAAAAATAACCAAGTATTTCTGGTGTGTTTCATTGATCCGAAAACACCTTCAAATCTGGACGTGATGGTCCCTACCTCAGGTGGCTTTTCTCAAATTTCAGTGAAGTAGGTCAGGGTCATTTGTCTCTGTTTAGGTAAAATAAGGGAATTTTATCCAGTAGTAGTGGGATCACGTGGCTCCTGACGGCCTTATCCACGGGTGAATTTGGATACTGCACACATGGAAAGCTAAGACAATCTTTGCTTAACCTTCTCTCTCTCAAACATTCCAGAACTACCGTCACAATGTTTAAATTGTGTTGCTACTTATATTTTTTAATTGAGTTGAAATTGTTATGTAGAAAAAGATTTTGTATCACTCTCTAAAAAGGAAAATTAGCTGCACTTGCTGTAAATGGGAGGCAACTGTGAAATACTGTGAAATAATACAAAATAATACAAGCCAGGGAGGGAGGGGGTGGGCAGGTGTTATTACCTTCTGTTGAGCCAGTTTTACCTGAGGACCGCCCCCCCCCCCCGCCATTGCTGTGAGGGACATTATCAGTTAAAAACGGAACAAGCATACAGATTCAAATTGTCATTTTTGTCCCTGAAACAGGAGCAGGCAGACTGGAGGGAATTCCTTTCTGTGGGATTCCTGTAATGCTACCTTCCGGGCTGCATCCACACACAGCACGGTCCACACTGGGACCCCGATTCAACCAGTTCTGCCCTGCCACCTGGGTCAAGGGAGATCCAGATTTGGGAGGGGGTTTAATTACATATGTGACAATCAGAAAACTAAAGGAACTATAAATTGACCATCCTGGTTTTACCACCTGGCTGCTGACCGTTCCCTGGTTAAGCCTTAGTAACCTATGTCCGTTATTTCAGTTAACTTTTACAAGAACATTTGTGGAACAAATTCTCCACTTGCAAAATTGTTAAAGTGGATTCTCCTGCCACACACACACACACCCTTTTAAAGCAATTAGCCCATTGCCAAAAGGCTTTACTGATTTCAAGTTGGAACTGCCTTTCTGGGATCTAATTCCAAGGACATCGACACCGCTGAGCAAGATGCCTGATAAGAGTGCTAGGAAGTCCCCCCTGTGGTCTGGTCTCTGTTTACACAGTTGGCTTCGCGCTCCTAACCACCTTCTCGACCAGTCTCCCTACCACTCAGAACCCTAGTAATGCCTATGCAAAAAAACAAGAAAAAAGCTGACGGTGAGTCCTACAGGTTTAAGGGCTGAAATCTTAAACTTTGATTCCACGTTTGGAGGAATGGAAGTGGACTGACAGGGCAAGCAATAAAACCAATCACCAAACCAAACAGCCACGGCCTTCTCTTCTAAGCCCCACCTCCACTCCACTCCTGCAGCCAGTGGGGCCCCAACAGAACAGAGAACCTGGAGAAGATGAGATCAAAGGATCAGGGAATATGTGACTTCACCAGCAAGATGTACAGATTGCTTGTATTTACATTGTTTTTATGGAACTAGGGGAATAAAACGTCTATTTTAAAAATGTAAGCCATTGTTCACCCCTAATTTTGTATCTGACGAAACCAGCCGCTTAAATTCCCTGAAACAAGCATCTTTGTGGTGTATGAGGAACTTAAGCCATAACTGTCGCTGATTAGGAAGCAGCCCTGTGTGTGACCAGTTTGTTAATGTTGCGCTACTACAATGAGCTATTTTCTTTGCTTGTGTGGGATTCCGGGGAAATGACAGAAGTTTAGCTGGTGTCACTGGTGAAGTTGGTCACATCATACTATCACTTGGGTGGATGGTGCATGAAATACTACTTTGGGAATGTAAAAGTTGGTTAACTCAAGACTGAAAAGCTCCTTTATCCCAGGGGGCTAACTGGGTGGACACCTGCAGCTTTATTCTGAAGCTTCTGTCACTGTGTCACCAAAGCTGACATGGAAGTCTCTCCGTGTTGGCCACTTCCTTGTAGTTAGTCATTTCTAGTATCTAGTTCCTTGCGTCAAATGAAGGCCGGCCATGAAAACATAGTTCTCTATTAGTTTTCAGGAACTTCAGCATTTCCAAGGTCAAGTTCACCCTCTTTGGCTGAGATGTTGGCAGCTAGAAACAACTATGTAACTTTATGCATTAGGAGCACACAGTACATGAGATCAGAGAAGGGATACACCTGCTCCTCTCATGGCTCCTCTCATGGCTCATTTCCAGGCCAACAGGGAGCAGAATTATGCGTGCAGCCAAGATGTATTTGTGTTCTTTCTTATGTGTAAAGTTTACATACATGCCATAACTCCAAAGTAATAAATACTAATAACTTGCCAAGTGTCCCTTGGGAGCCAGACAACAAGGGGAGCAAAGAAGCCTCTACCAGCCGTCCTGAAGGGGCAGCAGGCTTGATCCCCCACGGCTGGAAATGAGGGATTCCGGTTAAGCAAACATTCCTTCAGAGAATTAAGAGCCACACTTGGAAAACCAGTTTGCAAAGAACTAGTTCACCCCACGTGTAGAGCTCTTTGCATCTAACTGAAAACATGGTCAGAGCCCAGGGGCAGGTATGGATGTAGATGACCGATTCCTTCATCCCGTCCTCTGTCCTGACCACCTGCAGCTGTGAACCCCCCAAAGGTCCCAGGCCAGGCCAGGTGTACCCACTCCTATGAACTATTCCTGACTCAGCTGAGTCCCCAGGAGGAGGACGCACCAAGGATCCCAGCTCCACGAGCTGGGCTGCTGTCCTGCCCTGAACGTCCAGAACCTAGGACAGGAACTCACGCTTCCTGGGCACACGGGAGTTTGCAGGATGAAGAGAGGGCGCTGGCTGCCCCCATCCCCCGACTCCTGGTGCCCCCTCCACCACCCAGTCACACGGCCGTGTGCCTGTGCCCTGTGCTGCCGTGTTTCCTGCTGCGCCCTCCCCGGCCTGCGGGGACCTCTTGCCACTCCTGCCTCCATCCTTTCAATCCTCCCGTCAAGCCTGGTTCAGATGCCACTCCCTCTGGGTGCCTCTCCCACCTAATTACCCATCACAGTTTTGCCGGCTCCCTGACTTGTCCCCTCCCCTGCTCCGGTCAGTGGCTCCCCTACCAAGTCATGTCCCCGGTCGTCGTAGGATGGATATGTTCACAGGCCAGGCCAGCTCCAGAACCACAGCCCCAACAGCACCACGGAGGGGCCTTCCCACCCTCCCAGTGGGCCCATGCTCAGCCCAGCATTTCTCAAAGGGTAGGATGAACTGGGATATGCATTATCATTTCAAGGTTAGACACAGGAGAACTTTAATTATAATAATTTTATAGGTGACTTAACGTGCTTTACAAAAACTAAAACCTCAAAACCATGAAATAATAAGCCCTTTAACATTTAGAAAGAGCTGAGACAGGTCTCATCTAGCCAGCCCAAGATGAAGGTAGAGCACATGTTTCCATTTCACAGTCTCGGAGGAGACAAGGAGGACTCGCTAGCCAGGCAGAGGTGTGGGACACCGAGCGCAGTCCTAAAGGGATACCGGGGAAAGAAAGATAGAAGTCTATACAAAATTCTTTATTTTAACATTTAAAAGAAAGAATCACATGTTCATCCTGACAGCCTTCCCAGGCTGGGCCACCCAATAAGTTACACACACACGAAGGTACTTGGAAGGTTATTGCACGCCTCTGTCACTGATGGAGTCACAGTGATGTGGCCACTCTCCCCGCAGTCTGTCCTCCCTCCACCAGGAGGCCTCACTCGGACCAGGCTGTGGGGAGGCTCCGGGTCCTGAAGCTAGCGACACAGCTGCACTTCCTGTGGCTGCCTTCACTCCAGAGCACGGTGTTCACCGAAGGGGACTCTTGGGTGGGGAGGCTGAGGCAGCGACCTCGGGCACGGGCAGGCCTGTTCCTGACACCATACAGCAGCCCTGCCTCTCAGATTCCTCCCCCTGCACCATTCTTAAGATTGTTTGCTAGTTGATTCTTTGCTTTTTTGGCTACTTGATGGTTTTGATGAATTTGCTGTGATCCAGGGGTGCTCAAGTACTTCTTTGAGAGTCGGCCTTTGGCTGGGATTATGTTTCAACAGTCTTGAAATGAGGTCCCTGGCTCCCTCCGGCACGAAGTCAGGGAATGTGAACTCAACCTGGAGTACAATAAGTTGACAGTCACAAAACGCAGCTTAGAGAGAACAGTACAAATAGCTCACAGCCAAAGTTAAAGCTGGGAAGAATTCTACAAGAAGCAATGGATCATTTCTCATTAGGTCTTACCCGCGATATTCTTTTGTAGGTCTCTTGGTATGTGCTTGCCTCAAAAGGAGGCTTCCCAACTAGAAATTCATAGCAAAGAACCCCAAGGCTCCAGAGATCCACCTTCTCATCATGCATTCGGCCTTCAATCATTTCTGGGGGCAAGTAATCCAGGGTGCCACAGAGGGTGGTTCTCCTAAAAACAGAGGTAGGCTCAGGTTGGTATGCTTCTGTTTGTATTAGCACAAGAACGGCTAAATGTCATTAACAATTGACACTGACATTGATTGAGCGCTCTTCCTAGGCCACATCCTGTGCTCTGAAGCAGGTACTATTTAAATCCCCGGTTTTAGGGGCGCCTGGGTGGCTCAGTCGGTTGAGTGTCCGACTCTTGATTTCGACAACTCAGATCATGATCTCAGGGTCGTGAGATCGAGCCCCGAGTCGGGCTCTGTGCTCAGCAGGGAGTCAGCTTGAGATTCTTTCTCTCCCTTTCCCTCTGCTCCTCCCCACCCACTTGCTCACACGCATGTGCACATGCTCTCTAAAATAAATGAATCTTTCAAAAAAAAAAATCCCCCGTTTTAGACAGAAAACAGATTGAGAGAGATGTGCAGCATCACACAGCTAGCAATCAAGCCACACCCCAAAGTTGTCCAACCCCAGAACCTTCTTAAATGATCTACAATATAAGAAACTTAAAGAATCACTACTATATAAAAGCAGCCATGAAAGTTCTCTGTAAATAGTTTGGAGTTCTGTATTTGTTTTTGTATTACAGATAGGCTAAGAAGCTTAAGAGCCAGGTGACATGAGTGACAAACTAAAAACTGTCCCACTGTGAAAGCACTACCTTTGGCCTCTGATACACCACTGGTACCAAAGAGACTTAAATTTGGGGGTGACCGATGAGGTATTCTTGCCAAAAATACTGTGTAGGCCCTTCGACTGACTTCCAGTTCTCAGCAATTACAGAGGATGAAGGACCAAGTGACACCATTTTGGGTCATTTTAAATTGTTCGACAACTGGTCTAAATTTAGACCAAAGAAACACAATCAAATACAACGCATGGATGGACCTTGGTTGGATTCTGACTTAAAAGAAGAGCTCTAAAATTTTGTGGCCAAATGGGGAAATCAGAACATGGACTAAATAAATATAACAAGGCTGTTAATTTTCTTAGGAGTGATAATGGTTATGATTATAAGGACAACGTCCTTATTTTTAGGAGATACCTACTCAAGTGCTGAGAGAAGGAAGCATGAGGTCTGCAACTTATTTTTGAAGGTTCACCAAAAAAAAAAAAAAAACAACCAGACACCACCAAATCTGGCAAGTGTGTGGCCATACACAGGGCAAATGTTACCACCTGCTGAATGCAGGCTCTAGATGGACAGCTGAGCGGTCAACCACCCATTCGGCATTTCCGTATGCTTGAGTTTTTAACAACGAAGCCTGGAAATAAGCGGAGGGTGGCAAACATTGAACTAGGAGCAAACACCATGTAGGTTTCCATTGCTTTCTATCAGTTATTCTTTGCCACTGGCTCTTCTATGGGGTCACGCTGAGGCCAGTCACCACGCCCAGCACCCAGAGAGTACATGAGTGCACTCAACTCAGTGGTGACCTGCGGCCTGGGATGAAGGAGCTACCTCTCCAGACCTCTATCCCCACAGCACCACTGAGATGGTGGAAATAGCCCGAGTCAGAGGGTTCTCGAACAACAACACACCTGGGAGCTCTTACGGTTGCTCATGTCAGGGAGGTGGGGCGAGGAGAGCATCAGCATGTACACAGCTTAATCCTTTCTGAAAAGGACACTGATCTTTCCCATCACATGACACCATTGGGCAGGTTAAAGTCCAAGTGAGCCCTGCAACTGCACAAAGCCTACAATTCCTCATTGTTGTCTGCCTCCCTAGATGCCAACAGCGCCCACCTAGTGACAACCAGCTTAAAAAAAAAAAAAAACTACAACAGATTTATGCATTGCTGTAAACAATTAGAAGTGATCTAGCAAAAATAAAGCTCCCCATCCCCACCATGTCACCTATTTTAGGCTATACAGTTTTTAACTGTATTTAAGTACTAGAGCTGTAATTTTTAAGTCCTATTCCAAAGTTGACAAACTTATCAGATGTATGTTTTTAATGCTCTACCTCACATGAGGCTTCAAAAGCTTAATTAAACCCAAATTAAATTAAAACAGTATTTTAGCTCTTGTTTGCAAAGTTAAGATTTAAATTGTTTCATTAAATTTCTCTCTCTGTGTGAAGAGGGGACAAGAAAGGACTCCGCTGTTGACAAAAGCAGACCACAGAGAATCTTAACCACCACCCTGAAAGTTCTATCCAAACCAATTTGGTTTTGGAAACTCCCGCAAAGAACTGCGCTCTCAGCTCCAGACCTGTGTGCGCTACCCCTTGGAACTCGTCTCCTGTCCGGGAAGCAGCCGAGTGTCGTCTCCCTGCCCCACTGCAGGCACCACCACACACATCCTACGCTTCCTTGGTCATATACTGGTCACAAAGGTCCCCTTCACGAGCCTCTAAGGACATTAAGCATCTTTAACCCAGGCCTAGGACACATTAAAAAGCCTCAAAATAGTTGCAGAATAAAACGTTCTCAAAGACACTCCTATCAGGTCTAAGTTACTCCAAGTATGTGCATCAGTTACCTGCCCCGATTCCACACATCTATGCTTAAGGGTTTTTCTATTTAGTTCCTGAAAGCCCCCAAGGCTTTTGCTAAACTAAGTAAGTTCCACCTCTAAAGTTACATACCTGGAGGATGGGGCATGTACTGACCACCCAAAATCTGCAATCTTAAGCTCTCCAGCCGATCCAAGGAGTAGGTTCTCTGGCTTAATGTCTCTATGAATGACTCT